TCACTGTCTGTGGTAAGTGTGTCAATTTGCCTCTCTGGGTGCGTGTGCCGTATAATGTAGTCTGAAGGCAGTGATTATTGTGTACTAGTACGATGCTCGTCTGTCACTGTACAGGTTAACCGACATTCTAATTAAATAGTGCTCTTTACAGCTCTAATGCAAGAATATATATCAACAGTTATTCCCTAGAGAAAAATATGTGTTTTAAATATTTTAAAGCAAAAAAAAAAAAAAAACAGGTGTAATTTCAGTAGACTCTTGTTTAAGAAAAGCGAGTGTGTGACAGGCTTAGTGTGAGTGTGTGTGCACTAGAATGCTTGGCGTAGAAAAGTGTGTCATGATGTGTTTACAGGCACGTCTGATTAGTGTGTTTCTGGCCTCGAGTGCAGCAGTAGGTCTACTCATTCACTCCGTGTGCAGGTCTGCATTCGTTAACTCACGTGCTCGATAACACACATTCAGTGGTCAACCTCGGTGTTGTACTGTCACCACTCATACCTGCTGCCTGGGGGAAGTTTCTCTACAAGTTGTATGAATGTTAGCTTCATATTTAGAAAACAGATGCGAGTGGTATCCATCTTCTCATCCAGCTCTCGGCAACAAAGTAAAGCAAATAAGTTAATTTCCCAAACTAATCCTTCAAATAAAACTGTAAACAGAGCACTTATTCCAATGGAGCATTTTCGCTCTTCATGGCATCATATCATCTGTGGCCCCTAATAGCCTGAATCTAAAAGAAACACTTTTAAAATAACAGATTTCATGGTTTGTAATTCCTGTCTGGTTCTTGGGTAGGAAACATGAACATGTGACTGACCCGTAGACCAGCAGGTTCTTCTCCACTCTGAAGCACTCGGACCGGGGGTACCCCTGGGTTTTGTCCTGGGGCCGGCGGGGTTTGGAAGAAGGCTTGCTCGGCTCGTCCTCGTCGCTCTCCAGCTCGGAGAACTCCAGCATCTCGTCCTCTTTGGCACTGCTGAAGTGCCGCGTTTGCTTCCTCACCCTCGGCGTGTCAATCACCAGCGTGTTCTGGAGACAAAGTTCAGGGGAAACGTCAAGTCTGGGTACTTTTATAGTGTTCATTCCTTGTTTTTCTATCATTTACTTAGAACCTTGTTTCAATTACAGATGGCCTGAAATCCATTCACAGCAATATGCAAAGTACCTTCTGCTTTACTCCTGAGAGGCGGCCCAGGTGTACCTGTACATTCTGAGTTCTATGAGAACACACAACGTCTTCTGTACAAAGTCAGATTAATTGGATATTCGGGCCTGCGTTTCATGCCTGATGCTGAGAACATTTCTGTCCGGCTCAAACAAACGGCCGTTAATTATCTTGTCTAATGAATTACATTTTTGTTCAATTAATTAGATTCCCCCCCCCCCCCTCCACTTGCAATGTCATTAATATGCGCAAACAGGGCAGTAGTTAGCTCTGCAATTATCACAGAGCGCCGCCGTCGTTTCCATTTGAACATCACACAATGAGAAGTCCCGGGGGAAGCGGCCCCGCGTCCACGCTCCTGGAGCTGGATTAAGTGTTCCAGTGGAGGGCCCTCCATCAGAGAGGAGACGAGCCAACCAGGAGGAACAAATACACAAATACAAAAAGAGAGGGGGAAGCAGAGCAAGAATATAAAGATGGCTGTTAGCAGAGCACTCAACGGGTGTGCAAGAATGTGAGTGAGCTTGTGTTTCCGTCTGTGTGTGTGTGTGTGTGTGTGTGTGTGTGAGAGCACTAGCCTAAGTGATATCTCTGTACCCTCCAGGCATCTGCGCTCCGTTAAGTGGAGCTAAGCAGCTTACTCTCTCTCGCTCAAACACACACACGAGAGCAGGGAAACATGGGTAATTAAGGAAGAGAGGAGATTCCCAACTGTCAATATTAATCTCTCTCTCTCTCTGCTTCCCTCCTGATCTATCAGTCTCTCCCTCCTCCTCGCTTGTGGTGATAGCGGTGACTAATTACCACTGCTAGTCCCCTTTCCATAGGGGGACACCACCAAGTGTGTGTGTGAGGACTTTGTGATCGCTCTCTTTCTCTACGGCTACATCATTTGTGTGTGTGCTCGAGGGCGGGGTTTACACAGCAGGTACTTGTGTTATCAGTGTGTATGCACAGCTGTGTGTGTGTGTGTGTGTGTATGTGTAGTACCCGTCCATTGATGGCGTCCAGGTCAAGCTCCGCCTTCTTGGCCCATTTCTGCCAGAAGTCCGGATCCTCCAGAGAAATGTCGGTTCGGTTACCCGCTGCGACAAAACTGGCCTGCAGAGGGAGGAGAACTCGTTGGTCAGCGGCGGTTCCTCAGACAGTGTCAATAGATGCGACGGAATGGGGGCGACCCTATTACCTTAGCGAAGGTGGAGCCCTTGCCCTCAGACTCGATGGTGATGGTGTGGGTTCGTCTCTGGAGGATCTGGTCGATGTCTTCCTCGCAGAACTTGGAGCCCTCATCCTCCTCGTCCATCAGAGCCCCGTAAGCTCCCTTTCTCAGAAGGTCCTCCACCTCCTTCTTGGATAACTGCTGGACCTTGCACCAGAGACAAACGTCATGACGAATGTTAAAGTGAGCACACAGACACCGTCGGTTTTGTTTTCATTTTGTGTTTGTAAGGTTTGGGGTGCCCTGTTCTAACTAGAGGGATCAGACATGAACCCAAAGAGGGGTGTGACAACATTGTGTGAGTGTCAGAGTGTCCAGCGTACAGTGCTGCAGGAATGAGCCCCAAAGCACTTCTGCACCCTCGTCTCAAAGTCAATGGGTTTTTGGTTAGATGCTTGAAATGAGGTCTGTGGTTAACACGAGTTGAGGAGATTTTTGTTCTTCGACATTAAATACGTCATTTACTGTATTTATGTATTTACAATACAGTGAATATACAATTTTGAAGCTTTTACGCGTCATTAAAAAGGCGGTTGCTAACGGGTGTCTAAATTAGACGACTAAACGGCATCACGCTGAACACTAGTCCACCTTTAGCTTAAAGGTGGTAAAGTCATGTGACCGTGGTGGAGTTACTTTATAGCTTTTTACTTCTGATTTAAGTTACGTAAAAAAAAAAATCATGAAAGTGGCGTTAATTGTGAAAATTATCTTGCTGAACAAAATGTGCAAGTAATCAAACTTTGATCGTATTTTCTGCAATAATCTAAAGGAAAAGTCCTTATGACACACGGCACACTAAGCAGATTCACGTACAGGACAAACATCAACCTGAAGCCATCGCTGTAGATACTAGATGTGTAAGATGTGCGATGCTCACCCCGCTGTTGGCGTTCTCTCGTCCACTCATGCTCTGGAGAACGGCCTTGTCCAGCCCCAGCTTCAGACTGGCTTTGTCGAACATCTCCCTCTCGTAGCTGTTCCTGGTGATCAGACGGTAGATCTTGACCGCCTTGGACTGGCCGATACGGTGGCACCTGGCCTGGGCCTGAAAGGGGGGGACACAGTCAGGGAGTCAGACACGTTGTCCTAACAGCGGATCTCACTTACTCTTCTGTCCTGGCCGGCAGAGACATTACATACAGCAGTGGGGCCGATCAGAGCGGTTCATACCTGCAGGTCATTCTGAGGGTTCCAGTCAGAGTCAAAGATGATGCAGGTGTCTGCAGCGGTCAGGTTGATGCCGAGTCCTCCGGCTCTCGTACACAGCAGGAAGACAAAGCGGTCCGAGTCGGGTCTGGAGAAGCGGTCGATGGCTGCCTGCCGCAGGTTGCCGCGAACTCGACCGTCTATCCGTTCGTAGGGATATCTGGACACAGAGCGGTGTGTTATTATCAGTAACCACCCGGAAAAGCTAACACCGTAGTAAAGATGACCCAAAACAGATCGAGGCGTCCCAACACATCACGTCTCCACTCTCACCGTTTCTGGATGAGGTAGTCCTCCAGGATGTCCAGGCAGCGGACCATCTGGCTGAACACCAGGACTCGGTGTCCGCCGGCCTTCAGTTTGGGCAGCAGCTTGTCGATGAGCACCAGCTTGCCGGCGGCCTGGACCATGGCTTGGAGGGCCATGTCCGGCATGTCCGCCCTGCCGCCGTGAGACTCCCTGAAATCCTCGGCGATCTTCTCTTCCGCTCCTGGATGCCGGAAAACAATTTAAGTTCAGCAGGACACAAAGACGTTATGAGTTTGGTTCACAGAATCTTCCTACTTTTAGAAGTGCCTGTGTGTGTTCATGTGTATACCATTAATGAGGTAGGGGTGGTTGCAGCATTTCCTCAGCTCCATCATGGTGTTGAGGAGGTTGGGGACGTTGGGTCCTCCACCTCCGCCTCCTCCTCCTCCCCCTGCACCTCCTTTTGACAGGAAGGAGAAATTCTTCTCCAGAATGGCCCGGTAGTATTTCTTCTGGATGTTGGTCAGCTCCACCTGATGAAAACAAGAGTTGAGTCAATTTGTTTCTCCTTCTCTCAAATATGACCTTTACCAACGCTCACACGCAACACTGTCTTTTCGTGCTGAGATCATCTTGGTCCTACCTCGATGATCGTCTCCTCCTTCGGGGCCAGGTTCTTCTCCACGTCCTCCTTCAGTCTTCTCAACATCATGGGCTTCAGAATGGCCTGCAGTTTCTGAACCTGAGGCGGACAGACGAAATGTTAACACTTGTGGAATTTTAGGAACTGAATAAAGATGACAACTCCACCCCCCCCATTCGTGTTCCCCCAGATCCGATTGAGTCGTCCGTTTACCTGCTCTTCGGTCTTAAGGTCTCCGAATTCAGTCATGAATGTCTGCTCCGACGGGAACCGCTCGGGCTCCAGGAAGTTGAGTAAGCTGAAGAGCTCCTCCACTGTGTTCTGGAGAGGAGTTCCCGTCAACAGAACTTTGTGCTCCTGGAGGAGGGAGGGAGGAAATTTGAGTTTCTAAAATGGTAAGCAGGATGGCTTCAGAGCTTGAAAGCCCAAAGGGGAGGAGAGCGGGATCGTAGTAACACGTCTCAGGTACTGGCTGATCTCAAGTTTCTACAAGACCTTTGAAAAGCTAAAAAAAAAAATCCTGCTTCTTGTTTTATCAACCTGTACTCAGTGTGCCAAGAAACTACAACAAATACCTCCAAATGGGGACTTTTTAGAGCCTTGAGCTCAAGTAGTATAAGTAAGACCATGTGATAGACTTGATGTGAGAACTGATTGCAGTTACTCCTGCGTTCCTGCGGCCCCGGCCACCACTCACCATGTCCATCATTTTGAGTCCTTCCAGTAGTTTGCAGTTGCGGTTTTTGAGGCGGTGTGCTTCGTCGATCACCACGCAGCGCCAAGGCACGCTGCGGAGCTCCGGGCAGTCGGTCAGAATCATCTCGAAGGTCGTTATCAAGGCATCGAACCGATACGCTCCTTTTATTATCTTACCCTTAGAAAAGGGGAGAGAAGGAAGGTCAATAGGAGTAATCTTAAAGTCCTTTACCCTGTGAATCTGGGAGGGAAACAGTTTTCACGTTAAGTAAAAAGCAGGGACCGTGGGCCACAGCTGCTCCGTACATCTGTGAGGAAAAGCAAGAGAAGCTCTGAAATAGGAGGTTGTGCTACTAAACATTTTCCACTTGTTTTGTGCCGGTTTTCTTTATTCAAACCAGGTGAAATACACAATACAACGTATAGCCATCTAAGACATGGCAGAAATAAACAGTGGAGACAGGTGGCGTCTGCTGTATGTCCCCCCTCTGTCTGCAGATGAAGCAGGCAGTACAGCACAAAAGAACACGGCGTTTATGGCGACCTTGAGGATTACCTCAGCCTGGATTAGGAACAAGCAGCTAGCGAGGACGCAGCTACTACAGCTTATTTTCCTCAGAGGCTCACTGTGGCATAGGTTGCACTGAGAGATGTTAGCAACATTGTGCAGTAGGAGCTTACAGCTACAGGACCATAAAGAGCTTACACAGCAGAGGAGCACCATACATCCCCAGCTGGCTGACGATTTCCCCTGACCGAGGAGGTGCTCGGATCTGCTGACTTGTCTACTGTGCAGCTACGTCGGCCTCATCCTCCTTAGTTCTCATACAGAGCTGCCAATACAGTGTACAACCAGCAATCCAGATTCTATTCCTTCGTCTATTTCTGCTTTACACTTAACAAGCTGAGGTTTAGGTTGAGCTACCGTCACACTCTGAGTGACCGGCCAAACATTTAGTGTTTTGATGACAACAAATTACACTTAGTTTATGTAGAAATGTGGATACAGAAAGCCTGGTTAAGACATTTATGAACCCTTGTGCTTCACTTTAAGAAATTTGGTTTGATGTCCTTAGAGGACAAAAGTGTCCCCTTCCTAAAAATTCTATAAAAATACTATATATTAATATTATTTTCCACTTGAACTAAGGTAAGTCTTTTAACAAACGTCACTCTTGATCATAACTACCAAATATGCATTCATTTCCAAAATGTTAAGCCGTTTCTTTCCTTAATGCCACTGTTTTTTTTGTTTATTTAAAAAAATGGTTTTTATTCTTTGCTGTATATTCAACTCTAGAAGGATTTTCCCCCACTCTGGTATGTGTAAATGATTAGCAACAATATTGATCTTAATGCATCAACCACTGCAGAAACCAGGAATACTGTATGTATTTACAACATAAGGCAAAACATGAGATAATGACTCAATCTGGTGGAGTACAGTAAAAAGTACAAGTTAAAAACCAGCGCTCTAGATTGAACACATGATATAATATAATGTATGATCTATACTGTAATGGTCGTGGGATCAAACATTGTTGTTTTTATGGGTTTCTATAGAGACGATTTTGTACTTAAGGGTCTGAGTGTCTGTATTGTGGCTACACAGTTTATTATGGACTTATTATAGGAGCTGAAATAAAAGAATGAGATTTTTTTACCATATGCATTAACACAACCAAAGTGATCAAAAAATGTAGAAGCCTTGTGTCTCTGTGTCAGTTCATTTTATCTAGTTACATCCATCCAATTACGTTTGTCTAAAAAAATAATAACATAATGCCTCTCTTTTCTATTCCAGGAAAACCAAACTTTAAGGCCAGATTAGCCTCAGCCCGTTTACCTGTGCGTCTCTGTAGTACATCTCATAGGCCTGGATGGTCTTGCGGCTGGCCTGGCTGCCGTGGTAGACCACCGCGTTGAGCTCGGTCCAGGTCCTGAACTCCCTCTCCCAGTTGGGGATGGTGGAGAGCGGGGCGATGACCAGGAACGGCCCCTCGATGCCCTTCAAGTAAATCTCGTGGAGGAATGTAATGGACTGGATAGTCTTACCTAGACCCATCTCGTCTGCCAAGATACAGTTACGTCTGTAGACGACAAGTGAACGAGATGCTCAAAACAACACATACATTTGTATTTCAGTTCCACTAAACTAGTGTGGAACCCAAATCCAGATACCTTATACTCTCTAAAGCAGGGGTCTCAAACTCATCTTCACTCTGGGCCACATCAGCATCACGGTCGCCCTCAAAGGGCCAGTTGTAAATGCAAGACTGTGTAAATGTAACTACTCCTAACATATTGGTAAATAACTGTCTCTGCATTTAATTATTATTTATTCAAGTGTAAAAATATTGTACATGCAGTTATATAAATGTAAAAATATATTTAAGCACATTTCTGTTATAACTTAAATCCTTTTAATTTAGGGTTAAGAAACCCATATTACTCTATCAAAGATCAAACTTTTGAAGAAAATATCAAAGACAAATATCAAACACAAGTTATTACATTAACTTTGTTCAAAGCTTAAAATCCTTTCACGGGTGCGTTTGCACAATCCCACGTGAAGTATTTGTCGTAAAGCCACGTTTAAAGTAGTCTTCAATGTACTCAATACATTTCCATTTCAAGTGTAACCAGCCAAAGAGCTGCTTCTATGACTGTGTGTTTAAGTATCTCATACTTCTGACTTTCTATCTCATAATTTAGACTACGGGGATATTTTTATTATCAAGTCTAACTTTTAATTATTAATTTTTTTATTTAATTTCTTTAAACATTTTTTTTTTTTTTTTTGCTGGCGGATTCGCGGGCCACATAAAATGACGTGGCGGGCCGGATTCGGCCCGCGGGCCTCGAGTTTGAGACCCCTGCTCTAAAGACTTGAAAAATTGAATTCCTTCAGATTTTCCCCGACCTAAAACACACCTCCAATACCTCCATGACTAATCTTCACTCTCAAACTGTAAGATGTGTGGCCCTGGAACAGAAAAGGGTCCTTGTCCTCAGACTTAAGTCCAGCTTGTGTTGGTGCTCCTGACAGAAGCGGTCTACAGACTCTTGTGGTGCCATTAGAGCACGCCTTTAATCCATGGATGGCACCGGTGGGAGAACTTAGACCACACGATGCTCGAGGGTCACTTAATGTCCACTTAAGACTATTAAATGAGGTGCTATCACACACACAGAGGCTGGTAGCAGCAGTTAGGGACTCATTCTAACAAAATAAAGTTAATGCAGACTTACGAGTTGTACCAGTTGAAGGTTAGCCAGTTGAGGCCTTCTAGCTGGTATTCCCTGAGTGCGTTGCAGTTCCTGTAATCCTTGGAGCCCTCCAGCTTTTTCCAGTCGGCGGCAGGAGGCCGATCCTAGACGCACATTCAATTATTTATTAAACGACATTGAAGCTCAACAATCCTTCTGAATTCATTGGTGTAAGGATGTGGCTCTTTGAAATACAGTAGATGGGTTGACGGAGTGTTTCACTGCCTCATGTAGAGGTAAAATAGTGGAGTAATTCATAAGTTCATTAGATGCAGCTACTATTTTGATTTAGCTGCTTTTCGTTCCTGAAATATGATTTATGCATGTAGCAGTTGTTTATTCTAAAAGACCCTTTCGGGGTAAGGAGGGCTCAGAATAGAGAGCCAAAGTCCTGACCCCCCTTTAAGCAACATGTTGATCCACATGAAAAATCAACGTGACCGTGGGTTAGTGTGAGGAATCTTGTCATGCACTAAACTGTTGACAAGTGGAATTTTGACCTTCGGCGTGACCAACATTCATCCTCTGGGGAAGATGAATGTCCATCCGTCAAATAGTTGAGCAGATGTTTCTTTGTTGGTCCAACCGGCCATCCCTCAAGCAACACTGCTAGTGCGGCTAAATATATAGAAACACAAAATACTGCCTCTGTGGAGCATTTCTAACATGGTCCTTAAAGACATAGTTGGGATCTTTGGAAGTGGGTACACAGTTCTTCTAGATGAGCTTTGGAGAAACAGACAGGAGCACCAGCACGGAAGCAAAGTAATGTACTGCTGTGGACATATTTTAGACACCTGGAAGAATCAATAACAGTTAAAGTGTACTATACTATATGTAGAATATCTTCACCCGTTTACCTTGCTGTTAGACAGCCCTTCTGAGAGGGAACTGAAGACCAGAGTCACCAGACTCCATTTACAAAAACAGTAATTTTACCTTTGCAGAACATAGCAGTTGCTGGTCTACCGCTGCCTCGATTGTTTCGTCAGTTTGGATTTACCAAAGTTACACAACGATACAAACAAACTAACACACCTAGGCAGTGGTAGACCAGCACCGGCTGTGTTCCGAGAGGTAAAATGACTGGCTGTAAAGAGCATAGATAAGTTCCCGTCACAAAGGGTTGTGTGACAGCAAGGTAAAGTGGTGAAGATATTCTAAATATAACGTACACTTAAACTAATATAGATTTGGTAAGCAGTACATTACTTTGCTCCTGTGCTGGTGCTCCTGTCTGTTTCTATAAACTTCATCTACTGTAGTAAAACACTGACTATGGAGAAGAACCTCATACAAACGCACCTAAAAAAAATCTGAACTATCCCTTTAAGGAGAAACAGTAGGCAGCAGTTAAATAGATGGACACAGGGAGAGAGCGGAGTGATGAGGGAAAGACCACAGCCAGTCAGCTGCTTCTGTTCAGCATTAAACACACTGTTAGTGGTTTGGCTTGGCCACAAGAGCAGGGCGTGTGTGCAAGTGAGTGTGTGTGTGTGTGTGTGTATGAGTGAGTGTGTAAGACCACAAGAACGTGGCCCTGTGGAGAGCAGTTAAGGGAGCTGTAAATCTGGAGGAGGAAGGAGCAGGCAGCGGGGCAGCAGGCCAACACACACAAACACACACGCCTACTGGGAGGAGGCTGGGACCCATATAGTACCCAACGAGCATATATACATATACACACACAGGGCTACTTGCCACTTTCGTAGTGTTGGGTGCGTGTGCTGCGATGCGTTCATATTCCTCTATCTTGGACTGGTCGATGTCGGCCTTCAGCTCCCAGGTGGAGTCTTCGTAAGGCAGGCTGCACCATTTCACCAGATACAAGGTCACCGTCTGCACAGAAACACACACACACACACACACACACACACACACACACACACACACACACACACACACACACACACGGAGAAACAGGGAGGTTTGGTGAGTGTGCGTGCGGGGAGGGAGAGGCTCAAACCCTATGAAAGATGACAGAGAGAGATCAAAGCACCTCTCCGTTTTCATCTGGGCTCTCTGAAATGTCCAGGACGCGGTCCACCTCCACGTAGTCGGGGTTAAAAGGCTCGTCGTCCATCTGGGGGGGGGCAAAGTGGAGGTTTACTGTCAGAAGCAGGGAGATGGTTTTAACACTTACAGCAGGTTTTCGGGTGAGGTTGCGTAATTTCAGAATGAGCATTTTCCCATGTGTTTTTCTACTTTTTCTTTTTCCACTATTAAAAAGCTGTTGAACTATATGGATTCCTGGAGGTCTGATGGGTCAGGCTACATTAGCGTACAAAGCTGTATAAGGATAAAGACGAAGAGCACCAGAGACAAATATGAGAGAAGGATCGGATTTGGACACCTGAACATTCTCAGCTGTGAGCGGTTTTTAATCCAGAATTGGTCAACTGGACCAACGGATTGTTGTCGATCTGTCAGATCCCGCCTCACAGCCGATTAATTAGTTTAACCAGAATAGTGTGAAAAACGTTTCACTGCCGATTCAGTAAAAATATGCGATGAGTGATTGTTAATGCTTTCTATTCGCCGATCCCTGATAATGCTACATCGTTAACAAATCTGTGCTGAGAGCTAGTTCATGTTAGCATCACCGCTAACGTACGGAGGTTCCATTTAGTTACATTATGATGCCTTCATGCTCTGTTCAGTGAGAATGATGTGTTCACATGTCATTTTGTAAAATGTAGTCTTTGGTGAGACACTTGAATAAACACTTTTCTGAAGGAGGTGTTTTCACAGCAATAAAAAATAAATATTAGAAAAGGGAAATATGACCTGTTTAACTTCCTAACACTAGCTCTAAACAGTTTATAATACAGCATTTAAATTACTTATGACCTCATCATTTTAATCAATAATCAATCTCTTTCTTCTTTTGAGTTTTCTGACCCGTTGCTCATCGGTTGTAGTGAAGAGCGCAGGTCTTACCTCCGTGATGAAGCTGTTGAGTTGCTGCTTGGCCCGGAACCTCTTGACCTTTTGGTGTATTCTCTTGTCCTTCTCGAGCTCCTCCAGGTCTGCCCAGCGACAGTGGAGGTACGAACTAAGACACAAAGACACACCCAGGGGCTCATTTCACTCCGATCAAAGCCAGAGAATATTAAACTCCACACCGCCGATCCTGTTGGTTACACACTTATTTGCAAGTTGTATGTTCAAATTTGTGCATGCTGCTTCACTCTCATTTGAGATTTTTTTGTTTTGTTTTGCAGTTCAAATGGAAATCTGATTAGTGTGAGTAGACACAAATGAAATGTGGGCCGGCTGAATAAATGACAAAAAATGGAAGAAAAACAACCTACTACCACTGTTATTGATGCTAGAGTGAAGAAGGCTCTCAGGCTGAATATACTCAGCTTTTACACTTTGGACACCCTGAAGAGTGTGCGTGTTGAAAAAAAGAGGATCCCTGCTGTAAAAGACAAAAGAGGGTGACAGGGAGAGAAAAAAACAGCTCGTTACTCACAAGCCCTTGAACTTGACGTAGAACTCCTCCACCTCCACTTCCTCCCCTGACTCCAGCTGGAAAGAAAAAAGAAGAAAGGAAAAAAGGTTAATAATGAGCAGATATAGTAACTGTGCGGTGAAGGAGCAGTGTGTCATTGTTATACAACATGTGGCTAAGTGGCACAGAAGGAGCCTGAAACAACGTTTTCACATTAGGGCCGCAGGCTAAAGATGTGTGACATGTTTTTCACTGCGAGAGATTGATTGATATATCTCGGTAGGGAAAAATACAGGGACTTTCACCCTGTAGGGGGCGTCTGTATGTCGCTACATTTCAAAGTGAAATTAATCAATCTGGTGCACTTTAGAGCTAAACTAAGAGGCTAAGTGAAGAACGTTGTGCCCTGGTAAAGAATGGACCCTCTCACAGGGAGCCGGCCCGTTGAGGTGAATCCCCCCGGACTGTGAGGACCAATATTGTTAGAAGTGTAACTATATTAGTGGCGGGTCTGTCTGGACGGTAGCCAACTACTGGGAAATACTGGATTAGTCATGGGAAATCATAACTGTGGGAGTTTTCCTTTTGAATCAAGCAGCAAAAAAGCTGTGTACACACACACTGAGGGACAATACTGTTTCATTCATTTTGCTTTTTGGGATAAAACAGAACGGCCAGATTTAGATGAAGCTTGCGGCGAAGTAGATGGAACATTTCAAATATGCCAACGGATTATACTTCCAAATTAGAGACAGATTATTAGTCAAAGAAAAATATGTGGCAGAAAACACAAACATCAGAACGGTGTTAAAAAAGTGTTTCTCTTGCTGTGTGTGAGCGTGTATGTGAGAAAGGGAAATACCAAAACAGTAGCT